CACCACCAGTCACCACCAGTCACCACCAGTCACCACCAGTCACCACCAGTCACTGAGGAAATGCAAGTCCAAAGCTACAGGGGGCACCATGTTCACATGACTTGGGATGACTATAGTCAAAAAAACTAGCCAGTCTATGTATGAATGTAGAGAAATGATAACCCTTTTGTGCTCTTGGTGTTCATGTGAAATGGTGTGCCTGCTGTAGAAAACTGGATAGTTCTGAAATAAATAAATAGAGTAGAATTATCATATGGTCCAGTAATTTTCCTTCTGTTTCGATGCCTGAAGGAATCTAAAGCAGAGTCTCAAAGAGATACTTGAAACCCCGTCTGTGCAAAGCATTATTCCCATCAGCCAGAGGGTAGGCATGAACTACATGTTTGCCAGTTGTTGAATGGATAAGCAAAAATGTAGTTAAAAACTTACAATCCAATAACATCAAGCTTTGAAAATGGAAGATATTCTGACATAGTCTGTGGAATGGATGAACCTGGAGAACATTATGATGTTCTGGCTGCAGAGGTCATGACATGAGAAAGAAGCAAAAGTCTATAGAGACAGAGAGTAGACTGATGGATGTCAGAGGTTGGAGGAAAAGAAGAGTGGGGAACTACTGGCTGATGGGAATTAAATATCTGTGTTACACCAAGCTCCCACTACTAATCAAGAAGCTATCTCCAAATGACATCCACTCACAAAAAAAAAAAAAATTGTTTCTCCAATGGTGTCCCACTTGGTATACAAACCACACTTAAAGGCAGTCACCATGCCCAGCAGTAGATGACCAATACAAAACGAACCCAAGGGTATTACAGAGACTGCATTTCATATTGCATTGTTTGGCATGTTTTAGCTTTCATGGTATTTTCCTTGTGTACTATGGTTTCTAATTTTGTGTTTTTATAGTGTGTGTGTGTGTGTGTGTGCACACGCATATGCACACACACTCATTTCTTGTGCTTTTTCTTTGTTTTTTATTCTTGTATATATGTATGTTTGTTTGTTTGTTTAATTTGACTGTTTTCTTAAGAGAGGGAGAGAAAAAATGTACAGAGTTGAGAGAGTCGGGAGGTAGAGAGGGTCTGGGAGGGGATAAGGAGGGGAAATCTGTGATAAGAATATATTGAATTGAACTGAAAATTTTTGTTTTCAACAAAAGATTTTCTATGTTACAGGTATAAAGAGATTATAGAGATAAGTGGCAGTAATTACTGTGTGACATTGCAAACATATTTATTATCATTTTAACTGTATATTTAAAATGGTCAAGACAGTGAATTTATATATCTTGCCACATTTATAAAATTGGAGCGCCAGTGGTTTTACATAGATGCAGAAGGAGAGAGAGCGAGTGAGTGAGCGAGAGAGACAGAAACAGACAGACAGAAAGACAGACAGAGACAGAGAGAGAAACAGAGAGAGACAGAGAGAGACAGAGAAAGAGACAGACAGAGTGGTAGGGTATTGGCTGAGTGGAAGGCAAATATGATTTTGAAAAATGTATCATTAAAGCTTTGTGAGAGGGGAAGGCAAGGAGAGTTTAAGCCGAAGTGAGGGAGAGAGGGAGGGAGGGAAGGAGAGAGAGAGAGAGAGAGAGAGAGAGAGAGAGAGAGAGAGAGAGAGAATTTATCATCAGAAAACCTATTCTTTATAAAATATGTTAAAACTACTTTTTCAAACAAAAGATGTAGACATGAATTATAACAAGAGGAAAAAACAAAGTAGTATTGGCAATTAAAAACAATAATAAATTATTTTCTGGGAATAGAAACATATATAAATAAAAGACACAAGCTGGCAAGATGGCTCAATGGATGCATAGCAAGCCTAATTAGCCTTGGCTTGAGTCCAATCCCCAGAATGCACAAAAAGACAGTTGTGATAGCTCACATCTTCATTCTTAGCACTTGTACAGGGAGGAAGATACAAGAGAGTCAACTGAGGTCAGCTAGCCTAGACTCTAAGGGAATGGTAAAAACAAGAGAGATGCTGCCTCAACAAAGTAGAAGGGCAGAACTGACATCCAAAAGTTGTCCTCTCATCTCCATCAGCACTGTGGTACACGTAGAGCCACACTCATTAACACATCATGAATACAATGGAAGATAGGTAGGTAGGCAGATAGATAAATGAATGGATGGAGAGAGAGAGAGAGAGAGAGAGAGAGAGAGAGAGAGAGAGAGAGAGAGAAAGGTTATCTCTGTTATATCTGATGTTAAAGCTTTCTAAGATTTTTTTCCCTCTGTGATTAGTCAAATGATAGATTTATATAAAATTAAGTCAAATGTATATTGTGATCCTTAGGAATAGCAAAAGAAGATACACATAATTACCATACAGTAAAGAAAAAAAAGAATATAGAACTGGCATAACAAACAGAAATAATTAGTAAGGTGGGAGTTATAAGCGAAAATATGTCAGTAACTATATTAAGTGTAAATGGACATAAACTTTTTACTAAAGTCAAAAGTTATCCTACAGGATTTGAATAACTCCTAACCATGTGCTGGTTGTTTATGAAGACCTACTTTTGCTAAAGGTATCAAAAGATCAAGAAAGTGGAAGAATCCTTTGTAACTCTTGGAGTTTGTTCTTGTAAGTGAATGGACAATTGACTTCATTATTGTTATGGAAGTGTACCAGGTTTACTTGTTTTAAATGTAGTTTAAAAGTTGTGTTTTGGAATCTGTGGATATAGCTCAGTGAGAAAGCATCTGTTTAAAATGTATACAATGTCCTGGGTCCAACTCTCAGCACTAGAAACAAGTTTTGGTGGGGCATGCTCATTTTGACGTGCTAAATACAGTTGGCAAAGAGAATATTCAGGTTTGATGCTGAAGAGAGAATTCAGTAAAAGATAAATACCTGACACATGTGGGTAGATAAATAATATTTAAAGTTGTTAGATAAAATTAGCTTAGTTAAAGTGGGGAGGGGCTAGGTCATACTCTGGAGTCCTATGAATTACAATGTCTATCTTACAATTTTTTTATTTAAAAAAAAACAGATAGCATCAAAAGGAGCTGGAAGAGAGAGAGAGAGAGAGAGAGAGAGAGAGAGAGAGAGAGAGAGAGATTCTGGAGCCCAAGAGGAGGTGAGAATGCAGTTTGGTGGTAGAGTGTATACTTAGCATGCACGAGACCCCAGGTTGTACCACAAAACCACCATGATGGTCATGATGATGTATGTGTACCTCTGTGTGTCTGTTTGCGTGTGTGTGTGTGTGTGTGTGTGTGTGTGTGTGTGTGTGTGTGGTGTTGGGGGGGATTGTCAGAAATCCAGGAAACTTCATGTGCTGATGGTAAGAATTGGATTTGAAAAGACAAGAATTGATGACATACATTAAGTTGTGTGTTTCAGGGACAAAATTACAGGAAGAGTGTAAAGGAGAAGGAAAAGACCTAAGAGGCTTTCTGGAACACTGCCCTGGGCAAGTTGCTAAGCAACATCCACCAGTTATAACAACAGGCAAAGCAGAGCCCAGTTCTGCAGGGTGCTAGAGATGAGAAAAGATTGGGAAATTCAATCTGACTTCCCTCTGTGAAATATGAGTGTCTGGAGAGACAGGAAAGTTGCAAAATATTTGTGGGGAGAAGTTGTTCAAATAATAATTTATAAAGTAAATGCTTCTGGTGGGAGAACTGACCAACAGTGTGAGTCCTGATTTCAAGCCCTGGAGTCATGACTTGAAAATGAAGCTGGCTTTTCTAGTGTAGGCATGTGGCTGTCTTAAGCAAGGAGAGCAGTTAGTTCCTCTGTGATCTGTGCTTTACCTCATGATGGGGCTTAGTGCCTAAGAGCATGGGCTACGTACTCAGTGTTGTCAGAGATCATACCTTAGTTCCATGTCATTGAAGATGTCACTTAAGAGCTCCACACCATGGTTTCATGAGGGCAAAGTATGAATTTAGTAGTAATAATCTTTCCATATAATTTTAAGCCAGTTACTTGGGGAAGGCGTGTGTGTGTGTGTGTGTGAGTGTGTGTGTGTGTGTGTGTGTGCACATTCAGAAGTGAAAACTACAACATCTATAATGAAGAAGCTCTTGCTTTGCAAGACATTGAGAAAAATGTTTTGTGAGAAGACTATATGGTATATAAATAGAAGACATATAACCTGCCACACACATTGTGACACTTCTTCTTTCTTGTATCAGTCTTTTTAAGATCTATTTGCCCTTCTTCCTTATTTGCTATGTCCGGATATTGACTGGGGTAGAATGAGGAAAACACGTAGATTCCTAGCCACCCATATGCCACACAGCCTGGTTGTAAGCGATTGTAAGCAGATTTGTACAGTTCTGCCACAAAAAAACTGTTGTTTTCAAACTTAAAAGAACAACAAACAAACAAAGAGCAGACACAGGTGAAGAGTTGTTTGACCTTTTACCCTCCACTAGTGGTTTGTCCCCACTTTGCTCTTCTTGAATAGGGGAGTTTGGCCTTGAATGACAACAGATACAAAAGCCAGACATATTTAAAAGAGATGTTATAATGATGTACAAAAAAATGAACATATTAAAACATACAGCTACATCACTAGTCTAAAATTAAATTCTCAATGTATGCATATGAATGAGCGGGATGAAAAAAAAAAACCAGCAACCATAACCTGGAATGGATATGGGATCGTTACTCACCATCGACACCCAGAACTTCCCTGGAGCTGAGTAAAAGCCGCACAGGACAGGAGAGGGTGTTGGTGGCATGAAGATCTCAGGCAGCGGCTCCTCCTCCTCTTCCTCTTCTTCAGTGGCCTCCTCCTCCTCTGGTATTTCCTCTTCCCCAAAGGCTTCTCTCTCTTCTGCTAGCCTCCTCCTCATTTCTTCCCTTTCCTTCTCCTTCAACATCTTTTGTTTTTCTCTCCTTTGTACTTCCATAAATCTCTTTTTCAAAAAAAGATAATAAATAGACACTTTTAAAGTGTGCTATTTTGTGTGTGAGCATGACAGATTGTGGAAAGAAGCGGGTTTTAGAAACCTCATAGTTCCTATATTTTCATAAATTACCCTTTGGAATACATTTTTATCATTAAAATTCAAATCTTTGGGATGAGCATCATTTCCGTTTAATCCCCATTTCATTGAAATCATTTGACCATCCTTTCTGGCAAGAGATGGGAAGTGTTAATTTTCCCTCAGAGCCGGCCACTGTCAACCTAGGAACTACGTCTAAAATAGCCAATGGGAAGCTTGTTTCTGGCTCCCATAAACCTATGATGTAGGCACTCGATTATCACCGGCTGTCCAATGTAGAGGTCCCCAACACTTGGTAGCCCCTTCTCCTATTCACCCCTGAGAACTACCTTCTCTGAGTTATATGATCTCTTCACACCATCCTCTGTTCACAAAAGATCACAGTGGCTCAAACTGATGTAGCTTGGCTGGCTTCTAAAGAGACCTTCACTATGGTCCTGTCGCATCTCCTACAAACTGAATGCTGTGATTTCAACCAGCCATTCTTCTTCGTGAAAACACCAAGAACTGTTGAAACAGTGGCTGCCCTAGGGCTGTTCTCCCAGCACCATTACCTCTCTCTTCCTCTCATTCTCTTAGATATCTTCCCATCTTCTGAGTATAAATCTTCATTTCCAGGTCACCAGTTTTTTATTCCTCTCATCCCTCCATCAGCAACATCACTCCCTGAGGTTTCTTTCTTTGTACCTGGATTGTAGTCACCTATCCACTACTGCCTCCTGCTTACCAGTGTATACGCTCCAAGGGCCAGGATCTGTTTTATTTTATTATTCTCCAAGAATCTTTTATAGGATATTGCATCTCCAAATGGAAGAAAGGAAAGAAAATAATGATTCAAGAAGATCTCATACCAAAATCTTAGATTTGACACTCGTGAAATGGAAGCATCTGAGTAACATGTCTGGGATTGCAAACGTGGTAACATTCTGATCATCTACATCCTTAATGGTTGGGCATAGACATTCAAGAATATAGCCATTCTCACAGATGATCAATAAAGTGCTTTCAGGCTGAAAAAAAAAGGAGAGAAGGAAAGAAAGAAATGAAGGAAGGAAGGAAGGAAGGAAGGAAGGAAGGAAGGAAGAAAGAAAGAAAGATGCATTTTATGCATATCACTTACATGTAGGCAATTTTTTACAAGTTCAAAGTCAGTGAGAATATCACGATCATTTAAAAAGGCGATACCCCACAGGCCTAGTCACAAATGATTATTGTGTTGCTAGTATTGGTTATCCTCATGTAATTATTCATTGTTAACCTGATGGCTAAAGTTAGATTTTCAATTGTTTCCTTTAAAGATACCATGACTTATAGCCATAGCCAAATATGTGGTTGTGAAATCTCTTGGCCCAAAGGGCAATATCTTCTAGCTAAAATCGCTGAGGAAAATTTGTGGCATGAAGGTCTGCTCAGCTCAGTCACCCATGACAACCCATCCTATCTTCCTAAGTTTAAATTTCAATGTGATGCTCCAAGGACTCTCTCTTCTTCCCTCTTCTCTTCATAAGTGTGCTTCAAGAAGTCTTAAGCTTTGACTTCCACTCAAATACAGCAGGTCCCAGACTGCTCTTGTCCAGTGCAGAACTCTCTTTTGCACCAAAACCTCATCTGGGAAATCACCTTATCTACTGTGTACTCAGCATTTTGCTACATGCTAGAGATGGAGTTGTAAGAAGAGCCGCTATCCTCACTCCCATTATGGACTTTGCCTCCGAAGGGAGAGCTTGTCAGTTATCAGTTCACACAGATAAATACAAATTGCAATTGTGAAAGTCCTGCCAAGAGACTGCAAGAATTGCCTGATTGTGCATAATTTCCAGAGAAAGTACTATCTAGCTTGAAGGTGGAGGATGAATACAATTTAAGGTGAGCTGGGGAGTGGGTGATGTGCTGTGAAGAGGAGACATCAGGACAAGTGTCCCGTGGCACATTTGAGCTTATAGGAGAACTGTGGGCTTAGAAAGCATTGCTTAGAGCCATAGCGCAGGAGGAAAGAGAGACAGAGCGGGGCACTGAGGGATTTAACACCCAATGACCAGGGAGAGCCTTGGCCAGGTGCAAGAATGAGGTGGGGGGGGGGACAGAAAAGCACTAACATTAAAGGGAGAAGATATTTTAAACAGGAAGGAAAGTTCAATGGGGTCAAACAATGCTACAATATCAAGAAGATAAGATTCACATGTTAGGTGGGTATCAGCGATGCCTTGAGAAGAGCTACACACTAGAATCAGGGAGCCAGAAGGCAGGCAGAAGGTGTGGAAGGATGGAGCAGTCAGTCCTGAGAGCTGCTAGGAGGAAAGGCAGGAAGCCATAAGTGCACAACGCAAAGTGAGCCTGTTTACTTTCTGTAAGGGCCAGAGACTACCATGGGAAATTACCCAGGGAGCATCAGGAAAGGCTAACTTACATGTCCCAAGAAAGAGAGTCATGATGTAAACTATTGAAGTCGAGAATGAGGGACTCTAATCCAAAGGACCAGAGGCAGAATGGGCAATAAGTAGGAAGGACAGCTTCTCCATGGTAAAAGAAAGAAGAGGAGCGACACAGAGGTCCTGAGAGGATGCAACGGGTCCTCACCTCTCTGGGAAAGGATGCTGAAGGCATGACAGGGAGGCAGAAAGCTTTGAGGTTTCAAGGTGGCCATCTTGTGTGAGAGAAGGCATTGATAAGAGCTGTCCCAAGGGATGTGTGGAACTCATTTAAGTCACTGTATTTGTGGGAGTTAATAATCTTCCTTGACATATGATTATCTCCTGCAGTCTTTGGCTGACACTAGTGACAAATTAGGCAAAGTAGTCGGGGCAACTCTAGAATGGATTTTTGCCAAATAGCAATGAGGAAAATGTAGCCCAAAGAGGGAGAACCCTTGTAACTACAAGACACTTCAATTTAATCTTGAGGATAAATGCTAATGACTTACATGATTGGCTGGAGACCACATCAACTGACAAATAGGCCCAGGAGTGGTAAAAAAACCAACCGGCTTGTATTCCTTCTCCACATCAAAAAAGAAAACAGTCTTGTCCGCACTCTAAAAGAAAAAGAAATACACTCATCATATACATATATACATATATATGTAATTATTATATATGTATATATATTATATATATGTATACATATATATATATATATATTACTATGACAATACAGTCATTCAACATTCTGTTAAATACCATGGAGTCTATCTAATTTACATTTATAGATACAACAGTCATGTATTCTCGATTAATCTGAAATATAAATATGGTTTCAAATGTTTGACTCATTTTCCCAAGTGTTTCAGTACCTAGTCTAGAAATGTGACTACCATATATGTGTTTATACACACATGTTTATGTACATACAACTAATTTCTAAAATAATTCCACAATACATCTGTTCATTCTTACTTCCTATAGAATATAGTTATTTCCTTTATCTGAGGCAGGCTTTTGTTTTGGTTCTTATTTAGAGGATATCAAAGATCAAAGCAGAACTGGCTACATGCTAGGCAAGAGCTCTCCCACTGAACTATGTAAACCTCACCTATGATGGCCCTCCTTAAGAACACATATATATTATAAACTAATGGTTATAAGAAATTCATCCAGCATGATTTCCATTTGAAATTTTTTGTTCATTTAAAATAAGGATTAAAACTTAACTTATAAGACAGTTCTTAAATATCATACATAGACTGCGCTGAAAAAATAAGAAAACAAAATGTAGGTTAATTTTGGTAAACAGGGCACAATAGAGTAGGTGCAGTTAAGAGGGAAGCTAGGTGTGGAGTTTTAGTAGAAAATGAGAGGGAATCTCACACTTACCCCAGTGGCTAAGATCTCGCCATCACGTTCATAAGCTAAAGCCGTAACTTCTTCAGTATGAGGTTTGAAGACATATTTCAAATGTAACTCAGCATCTAAGATTTTCTTCCGTCCTGCAAAAACTGTAAGTCCTTTTGGATCAAAAAGTTCAAGAATTCGAACGACACCATCTTGGAATCCTACTACGATCTGGGATGCAGAAATGCTTACCTGGGAAAACAATCAAACACATGGGACCTGTGTTTAGTTAAGTAACTGAAGCACACACAAAAGTCACTCCAGATCTTGCTTTGATTCAGGTGACTTAGTGTCGGCTGCCCTTTTCACCCCTTGGTTCAATGTTATGGCAGTCCCCATCAACTCCGGGCTGTTTACTTATTATGACCACAAGCAGGGTAATCTACAATAATTCAAGCTTCCAACGAGCAAACACAGATGGCTCGCCTGCCTCCTGTGTAGAAGGCACCTGTCACCAGCAGTTTGGGGTGAACACAAATAGACTGAATGTCACCTATTAACATGTAGAAAAGTATAAAATATGATTAACATGGGTCCATAGGAAAGAAACACACAGCAAAGAAAGCTAGCTGTGCTTGAGGACTCCCCTAAGGCAAAGATGGTTGGAGCTGAGATCAGAAGGGTACTTGGTCAAGAACTAGGTACAAGAAGGTACCTAGAACGAGAACTGGATAGCGTGAAGAAGAAATGCTACCATAAGAACTAGAGGTAGAGACAGGTACAGAATATCTTATACGGTACATTGAAGGTAGTCTTTATCCAAACAATGGGAAACCAGGCCAGAGGCCTACCTGAACCATGTCCTCTGTGATTCCATCCCTTTATTCTTATTGTTAATAAGAATTAATACTCCCATGGTGATTAATAGTCCCATGATGTTTAAAAACCATGGTTGCATGGACAGAAGATGACTCAAATTCAGTGGCATGGTTAGTTCACAAGACAGAGCCTATGCCACAGGTAGCACAAAAACAGATTTTCACTAAGCAAACTATAATAGTAATATCATAAAATGATTTCTGCAATATTTTAGGTAAAATAAATGACTCGAAATATTTGTACTTCTAAAATTCTGAGCCAGAAAATAACTACATCTCTACAAGATATCATGGATTCAGTATATTTCTCAGGGTCTCTGATTAAGACAACAAACTTACTGATCGGGGTGCCCAGATGAGGGATGTGCCTCCTTGTTTGAATCTCATGTGAACCAAAGGGTTTTTACTAGCAAAGTCATAGACGCGCACAGAGCCTACGGAAAAGAAGAAGAGAAAGGTTTTAAAAGAAACAGATTATAAATGTGTTATTTCTTTAAAAAAAAAATCTCAGCTCACTTTTTATAGGAGACAATTCAGTAACTCCATCAATTGATAGCCTAACAGCCTTTTAAATTTGTATTTATTTTTTCTTTTTAGTTATTTTTAGATCAGCACACAAGGTAACAGATTTCCTTGTGGCATGTTCATACATGCTAGGTTTTAGTTGAATCTGCCCACACGCAAACACTGCTGGCCTGCCTCCATCTCCTACCTTGGTCCTCCCTGTATCTAACTGTCCCCAGGATTCCTTTTTCTACTTCCACACTCCGTGTGTTCTGGGCTCTCTCCTTCCTCAAAGCCTCCTTCTTCCTATCTCAAGGGCCCTTTGCCAGTTTGATGGGAGACATGAGTTGTGACCAACTGACAGAACACGTTCCTTTGCGGTCTACCAGGTTAGAGATACTGTAAGTTGAGAGGAAAGCACAGTGATGAGGATAGAAAGGCATGCATGCTGCCAACAAAACGAACAGCGCTTTCCTAAATAATTTACAATTAGGTCTTCATTCTAATCTCCAATCGTGTCTGCTCCAGGCTGTGCACTTCCTGCTTCAAAATCTGTCTTGCCTATTACATTCCACAGGTTTTGTTTTTGGAAGAACATTCAAATACTTTGAATACCACACGTTTTCAATTTGCATACAAACACGGCCAGATACATTCTTACTAAGAGTTCCCACTTAACGAGGCTAGTGAGACGGCTCAGACAGTGAAGTGCCTGCCATGCAAACATGAGGACTTGGGTGTGAATCCCCGGCATCCGTGAAAAAAACAGACCCAGTGAAGTATCCCTGTAATCCCAGAGCTGGGAAGGCAGAGACAGGAGGATCCCTGGAGCTGCTTGGCTGTCTAGTCTGTTTGGTGAACTCAAGTCTCAGTGAGAGACCCTGTTTCAAAAATTAGGTTGAAAAGCAATAGAGGAAGATTCCTGATGTTATACACACACATACACCAGAACACTGTACATATACATGAACATGCATGGATGCACAACACAACATACACCGGAACACATGTACATATACACAAACATGCATGTATTCACAACATAACACACACACACACGTGCACACACACCCACCAGAATACATGTACACTTACATGAACATACATACATGCAAAGCCCAACACACACACACCAGAACACATGTACACATATATATAAATACGAGGGCATGCACAACCTAACACACACAGACATAGATACCTGCATGCACGCATGCATACACATGTGCAGTTTGGGGAGTGGTTTACACTTACAGTCCAAGGCAGTTGTGGCCATGAGATAAGTGAGGGGAGAAACATCCAAGGCTGCAATGGGACCAGAGTGGAAAGAGAAGAGGCATTCTGGGTCTTGGGTCTGAGAACAGACAAAGAGAATATCAGATCTCAAAGAGTAATATATCATTAAAGGTAACTTTAAAGATGCAGAAACAAAATCCTGTAACACATGTGTCATTTTACTCAACGAGAAAAACATATAACTTCAGAGCTCTGGATAGGAGAATTAGGAAAACCAAATGGAGTCCTGGCTCTGACGTCAGTGACTGACTTTACACGGATCTCATCAGATCCCCCAGGCCCAGCTCTTCCTGCCTGCTCAGTAGAGCAGCTCAGACGATCACGTTAGTGAAGATCCCATGTGTTTAGTATAATGACAGAGTTCTGTTTTTAACTTGATGGAAACAAAAGAAACACCAGCTTTTAAAGACTATCAAAGAGTGCAAAGCAGTGGTGGCGCACGCCTTTAATCCCAGCACTTGGGAGGCAGAGGCAGGAGGATTTCTGAGTTCGAGGCCAGCCGGATCTACAGAGTGAGTTCCAGGACAGCCAGGGCTACACAGAGAAACTCTGTCTCAAAAAACAAACAAACAAAACAAAAGACTATCAAAGAATTTTTCCTATAACAGTTAGGAGAAAATAAGGAAAATGGGAACTTACAATATTTGAAAAACTAAGGTCAAGTTTCCATATGGCTCCATTGGCATCCTAAAAAAATTAAACAGCTGATAATGTTTCATCATTTTTAATGTTCATCAAATTAAAATCATTCATTCTGTGATTTGGTTAAAATGAGGGCCAGCAACAACACCTAGTGTTTACATATATTGTAAGGTATAATTGAAATACATTAAGAATATCTTCTATATATTTAACACTAGAAATGTATAATAAGCCAAGCAAGCCCATAAGGCTGTAACATGGGGCATTCTGGTCCAAACAATCAACTCTATTTCTATTTTCATTTTATGTTCTGGTACAGTTAGAAAGCCCAGACAGAAGACTGCAGAATACCTGAGCCAGCCAAAAGTTATTTCCAACTTCATTCATCTTGATCATTGAGAAGAGGTTGACGTTCTTGTCCACGTGAAGTTCATTAATAGGTTCTATCTCCAACAACCCGGTATCATCTATAACGTCAGCGGTGTCGATTGTCTCAAAGTCCCATATCTTACAAAATCAACAAGAAAGTTATTTTATAACACAATGACCATTCCCCTACTAGACACCAGAAGCTACCAAGTACAAGGCGCCCCGTATGAGTTACTTCTTTTGGAGTTGTTGACCAGTTGAGGTCCCATAGACCCTCCAGCAGGACAGGTTATTGCCACTGCTCTTGATTGAACTTCAGAATTTGACAGCGAGACCCTCTTGCTGATGGTACCACATGTTTGTGTTACAGAACATGGCAAAATCACGTTGGTGCAGACCTGGAAGCTTCTTCCCTATTAGCTAGCTTTTATAGTACTGGGAAGTACTATCCATGCTACTGGAGGAGAGAAGTGATCATCAATCATATCTCAGCTGTGAACCCTGAGAGCTATAGAAACAATTGGCCTGGGAAGACATACTCATTGGTGTAGAGGTGGCACAAATATCATGGGGTAACCAATCAGTTTCAGATTGGGCTTAAGTTCTACTCAACAAGATGAAAACCATACATGACACCATTACCTGGCCAAAAAACTATGGCTGGACAAGTTATAGGCTCTAAGATAGAACCTACTATCATATAGTAAATGGACACAGTATTAAACAGACTCCTGATGACTTCTTCTTATACTCATAGTCCAGCACGTCTCTCAACTCTCGTTTGAAAAGCTTCTATTTATTTTTTGTGACCTACAGCTGGTCAAGGTACAGAGTGAAAGAGACTGTACAGTGTTCAGTCCTAAATAGAACATATTATACCCATATCCCCCAAAAGTTTCAGGAACCACTGTAGAAGATGAGGGAGAAAGACAGTAAGAGCTTAGGATGGTGGGGGATTATGAGGAAATATCTTCTGGGCAGAGGGGCAGCTGCATGTATGAACTCACAAGCAGTTATGACAACAGGTACAAAACCCATGCAAGCCCAGGCCAGACCAAATCCCAATATGGAAATGGGAGTTGAGTGCATAATTCAATCCCAAGTCATGGAGCTATTGGCAGTTGTAAGCTTCTGGGAGACAGACAATTTTCACTGAGAGTATAACCTCTGGTAAGTTGGCCATTCTGTAGTGAATGCCCACACATTCAAGAATACAGACGTGCCTAGTCTTACTGCAACTTGATGTGCCATCTTTGGCTGGTATCCATGAGAGGCCTTTTTTTCTGAAGAGAAACAGAGGAGGAGTGGACGGGGAAGGAAGGGTTTGGGAGGAGAGGAGAGAGGGGAAACTGCAGTCGGGATATTAAAAAAAAAAGAAAGAAGGGGTTCTTGTCCACTTGAGGTATCTGCAGTTGGGGAGTCGGTGAAAAGTTGTCTCTTCCTGTGTGAACATGGTGCGGACCAAAGCAAACTACGTCCCAGGAGCCTACAGAAAAGTGGTGGCTTCTCAAGCCCCCAGGAAGGTGCTTGGCTCCTCCTCCTTTGTCAACAATTCTTCCTCAAGTTCGTCGAGAAAAGCTGAAAATAAGTATGCAGGAGGGAACCCAGTCTGTGTGCGCCCAACTCCCAAGTGGCAAAAAGGCATCGGGGAATTCTTCAGTCTGTCTCCTAAAGATTCTAAGAAAGAGAACCAGATTCCTGAAGAAGCAGGAAGCAGTGGCTTAGGAAAAGCAAAGAGAAAAGCGTGTCCTTTGCAACCTGATTACAGAGATGATGAAAATGAATAGAACTTACACATCTGAATAAATGCCTTCAGTTTACTTACATATTCTAGGATGTAAATTTGGTTAAATGAGTTTGTCCAATTGGCTTGTTGATGAAAAAAAAATGAGGCTAGAATTTAACCCTTCAAAAGAAGCCAGCTATAAAAGTGGAGAATTTTCATAATTTGTAAATTTGAATTGCATACTTGAATTTATGTCATATGCTCCTTCTTTTATCTGTTAAGCTTCTTCCTAAAAATCAACATTACCTGATGTTCTAATTACTAATCTATTGTCTTTGCTTAGATTTTTGTACTGATGCCATTTTATGGGCGTTGATTATGGAAATAGTGCCATATAGTTATGGCATGTTTGCTTTAAAAAATTGACTTAGTCTTTTTTACATTAAAAAATTCAATATTAAGTATAAAAAAAAAGAAAGAAAATAAATGTGTATATATACACATATACACACATGCACATGCACATACACATACATATACATATGAAGAATATTCAGAAAGCACAAAGTGGTCTTGGGGAATTTAATATCTAGAGGCCCTGGACCATGAACCAAGAAGATTAGAAGGCAAATCAGAAGATTGTAGATTTGATAGTGTTCACAGACGGTACCATACAGGGTAAATGGGAAACAGAGATGAACAGCAACTCAGGAGACTTTGTTTCTAAAGCAGTGTTCCAGCTTCCCCTAGACTTGAGGCAAGACAGTGTGCACAGTGAAATCACTGAGCTCTCCAGCACAAGAACTGGGGAGAGTGGTACATAGCAAGCCACACCCGCACATCTCGGAGAGATACTAATTTCCCTGGGCATTTCCACCACCAACTTGGTGGCGATTCACACCTTTAATCCCAGACCTCAGGAGGCCGAGGCAGGTAGATCTCTTGCGAGTTTGAGGCCAGCCTGGTTTACATAGTGAGTTCCAGGCTAGTAAAAAAAAAAAAAGTTCAGAATTTTCAATCTTTAGAAAATGCCCACCCACAGGCCCTGTGAAAGGATGTGCACCCACGGTTTACCTGGTGCTATTATGGGCTTTCATTTTCTGAAGCCCCTATGCCAATACCTGAAGCACAAGAACAAGAGCTCCCTTCAGAACATTTCAATTAATTTTGACAAAGATGCAAACATTTACCACATGAGAAGCATTATTTAAAATAAATTGATCTTGAAAATAAGTAGCCACAGACTCCCTTCAAAAAGCACCTAATAAGACAAAACCACCTAGGTGACCTCAAGTCTTAGCTGGAATACCGTGGCCTTACCCTGACACTGCCATCCGACCCGGCAGTGATAACCTCCCCCTCATCCAGCATTATCTGGTTAATGGAACCGCTGTGACAAGACTTCATGCCAGTCCGACAGAGTTCCACCTTGATGAGGCTGCCTTCCCAAAGCAGCAGGTTGCCCCACTCTGACCCTGAGAGAACCTGGCAGGTGGGAAGAAAGAAAGCATAAAGATTAAATACCTCAAACATGTGAAAGTTAACTTCTAGATTATTTTTCTTGACTGTGAAAATCATAGCTTGGTAGGATATATAAGGAAAGAAAATGAAGAAACAAAAACCCACCGCCACAGATACAACCTCCGATTACACTTTTAGCAGATGCTGCCTAACACCCCACAACTAGGCTGTGTGTTGGTGGTGATTTCTTTATGAATGCTCGTTGTAGATTTCTTTATACATCCTTTAAGGGCAGAACTCGGGAGTGGAATGACTAGATCAAAACTGGGCATCTAAAGTCTTCCAAAGATGAGATTCCATTTCTAAATGTAGAGCCGTCTGCTACATTGTTAAGACCACTACTGAGTTGAGCAGATCACAGCTCAAGTTTCAAACAAGGAAAGTATTTGGGACTGCCCCCAAATTACTGTCTAGTTCAACAGCTCAAAGTGCATGCCATCAGACACTGGCTCTTAGAGTCCTTAATGAGTGCTATAATAAGTAATATTTGCGGTATATGCCTGAATGATTGTTAACATTGGTGTTTAACACCCAAATGCGCTAACCACATGCTCTAGGTACTCTCCTTAGCAGCACCATATGCAGTTGTGCCTGTGGGTGCTCTGTTTTCCCTAACTCCAGCTTTGTTCTCACTCAGAGAAAACTGAAGCACCAACGGTGAAATAAATAACTTATCCCCAAATTCTCCAGAAGAGCCAAGATTCTTGTTTAAGTGCTCTTACTCAAAAGTCCCTGATCTGACCACACTGTCTCAGAAGCAAGAGGCCAAAGAAACTGGAAAGTATACTTCTTTTCTCTGTGAACCACATGCATCTTTGACTAAGAAAATTTTATTTCCACAGGCCCTCAGTGTGGACTGATCCACAGAGGGGAACGCTTTCCTTCTCATCGTCAGAAACTGATGATTTTAGCTCAGTCTTAACTTTGCATGCCTATGTGACCTGCTACTGGGCCTCAGCTCACTTTAGTAGAGTCTTCAAATTGATTTTTTTATACAAGTATTTTTACTGATAAATACTAATTGTGCACATTTATGAAGTGCCGTGTGATAACTTCATACATGTATATGATGTATGACAGATACATCAGGTTATTAGCATTTCCTTCTCCTTAGACATCCATCATGTTCGTGTTGGGAAGCTTTGAATACCTGTCTCTAGTTCCTCATTACAAAGTCAAGACATGGTTGTGAACCAGACACCCACTGTGCTAGAAAACATTATAGAACTTAGTCTTTCTGTGTAACTGTTCTTTGGCATTCACTGTCCAGTCCCCCTCTGTCCCCCTTCCCTTTGCTAGCCTCCAGACACCACAAAGGCTTGTCCATCTGTTCGTATGAAATTAACTGCTCAATGATTAAAGCCACCCAAAGCTATAAAAACTTACAAGGCCTTCCTTTCTGAAATGTCAGTTACACTCAGCTTTCTTTGTCATTGGTCCTCAGAGCAGGTCGCCCTCCCCACATCAGCTCTTTTATTCAGATGATTGTAATAACTACTACCTTCCCAGTTCATCAGTTTGATTCCAGATTTTCCTCCTGCCAATCTTCCTGAAATTTTATGACCAAGCGGATCTACTGTTTTTTTTCCATTTATGACATTATTCATTATTCTTGCAGCACACAGTAATTCCACCTGGCTGTAAGACTCCTCATACACACTAGGAGCCAAACTCATCTTGAAGTGTCTGCTCTTTCCCAACATATCTTAATCTGGTTCACACTCTACATACCTGATATTCATTCATTCCTAACTGGAAAAACCTTTCCTTTCTGTGGTTTTATCATTTAAAATATCCAGTTCACCTTACATATACACAAACTCTCCTGAGCTTTCAGAGACATAGTTCATACCATGCTTTAAAAGAAGGTTATGGTGACGTTTACCTTAACACAGTTTTCAGAATTTGAAGAATTTAAGACTCGTCTAAGGACGTTGTATAGCTCTTAAAACACAGCCAATACCTGAGGCTTTTTGTTGGGGGGGAGGGAGGGAAGTGGTATACATAGGTGCCTGTGTGCAGCCAGAGGTTAACATCAGCGTCTTCCTTCAAGGTCCTATTATTACTGTTGTGATTTTTGTCAAGACTCCCTCACTGGACCTGAAGCTCATTAATTCTGCTAGACCGACTAGCCTGGACATTTTTTTATTTCCTCCTATACGCCATACTTTTAATTGAAACTATGCCATCATTTTAATGAACAGATAATTTGGTTTATTAAAGTGATATTTGTGTGCTTAAATTTTCTTTTAAGAGACGTGATCACAAGTTACACAGTATAACTTATTCTAATAGGAGACCCAGTAAGATAGTAAAGGGGAAGGGATCCTGGTTAACTGTCATTTTAAGGGGGAAAAAAAGCCTGTAAAATCTGTAAGAGCAAGAGAAAAGTGAACTAGTAATGTCAGAAAATCAACTGACAAATTATTCTAGTGTTGTAGACACAGCTATGAAATGACCTCATCTTCCAATGATGACCTGACACCAAATCAAGACACGAGCTTGATTAAAGCCCTGACTATGTGAAACCCTTGGAACATTATGACACAAAAGGGAAAGACAATATAAATCATTATAATTCCATGACATTGTTAAAGGTAACAAGCATGCCTCTGTGTTAACAGAGGAGAATATTTTCACATCTCATGTACATATAATATGAAGCAAAACCAGGAAATGGTTTATACATATGGATTATGAAAACTTTAAGGAAATGTTTTCATTTCAGTTGATAGTCTGTACAAGGAAAATGAGGTGTTCCTGACACTCAAAATTACAGTAGCTGTTCTCATTGCCAGTCCTTGAACATGAGGTTGATTTCAGGTAGGCATGCTTTCATCTGTGCACAGTTCAATGACTGAGGAGCCGCAGGCACGCTCACCTTCCCGTCTGGAAGCTCTGCATAGCCCTCTATGTCACTAGTAGATGTTTTACCAAATCGCCCCAGTGATCCTTGCAGCTTGAGACCAGTGAATGTAAAAGCCATCTCCCAGAACCTACAAACAAGAGAGAAAGAGGTCAGATACATCAATCAGTGTGGTTTCTTTTTATGTCCATCTGCCCCAATGTGTATTTCATAAGCACATGTAAGGAACTTCATTGATTCATCTGATTAACAGTGTCTACTACTCTCTGTCAGACAACATAGATTGAACACTAGAGGGAAAAACTTCCCTGTCTTTGTAAGTCCTGAATTTTGAGTTATGCTGTCTGCTGCAGCAGTTACCAGCCATAAGCAAAATTTTCAATTGGATTGAAAGTAATGGATGTTAAATAAAAGTAACAAGTAAGAAAGATAACAGAGGGTCTACATAATTCCATTCTGGAAGCAGATCAAGGGGGACGTGGGACCTGGAGCCACAGACTTGAGATCAGGAGGAGACAACGCATCAGGAATGGCTGTGAGACATCTTGTGGCACTGTTAAGACTGGGGTACCATTACAGGTAAGAAACAAGAAACTTCACGGTGGTCCGAAAGCTCATCATGACTTTGTAAATGCCTACAATGAGTTACTGAGATGCTCTTTCTAGAAGACCTGAGTTTGGTTCCTAGTATGTGGACGGACACACACACACACACACACACACACACACACACACACATGGCACCTTACAGCCATCAGTAACCCCAGCTCCAGGGGATTCAAAGTCCTCTCTGGCATCTACAGGCACAACGTGCATGTATTACACACATATGTATACAAACAAAACATTCATAAATATAAAATAAAAATAAGTATTTTTTTAAAAAACCATATGAAATCTTCCTAATTTTGAAAAAAAATCTAATTTTAATGATAGCAAAAACTATCTCCACATCTTTGGTCTTTGGTCCTTTTAGAAATGTCCCTTAAAATATCTTAGTTTCTTTGTTGGGTACCAGACTTACTTGATGTGGCCGGATCCGGATGTAGTTAACTGCTCGTCATTATCAGGATTGAAAGTGACCTTAAAGACATCCTGAGAAAACGCTTTTGTCCTCAGCATGGGCTGCTCTTCTTTCCAGTCCCAGATGGTTATTGTGTAGTCAGGATGACAGCCAACAGAGGCCAGCAAGTTCCCCTCATTGTTAAAGTCTATATAAGCATAGGCCTTCTCTGTCCCATCTGTAAGAATGAATGGGAGTCTGATAAACAAGATAGAAGCTCAGCCCAGAGGGGACGAACCTGTTACCTCAACACAGGAAGGCTGTGATGAAAACAAGACCAAGCCCAGCCAGTGCTGCAAATCTTATGTCCCAAAACGAAAACAGAGAAGGAAGATGGTGGTGGTGGTGGTGGAGGAGGAAGAGGAGGAGGAGGAGGAGGAGGAGGAGGAGGAGGAGGAGGAGGAGGAGGAGGAAGAGGAGGAGGAGGTGGAGGAGAAAGAGAAAGAAGAGAAGGAAGAAGAGGAGAAAAAGGAGGAGGAGGAGGAGGAAGAAGAGAGTGATCTGTGTTAATATAAAAATGCCAAGAATCTAAGAGAGGGCTGGGGAAACAGTCCAACAGGTAGCACAGCCAGTGTACAAGCACCCAGGTTCAGGTGTTCTTCTAATGCTACTGGTGGGAGGAGGTGCAGAGACGGGTGGATCCCGAGGGCTTCCTCCTGGCCAACCATCGAAGCTGAAATGGCAAGTTCCAGCTGCAGTGAAAGGCTCTACATCATAAAACAAGGTGGAGAGCAATAGAGGAAAATGCTCGACATCAAGCCCCGGCCTCCACAAATAATGCCCAGGCAAACGCCCTCACACCTATTGCATGGGTGGGAATGTGCATACATAGCATACGTACGGAAATCTCCCAAAAGAGTAATCCGAAAATTCTTTCATCACTCTTGGCTTTAGAATGGATTATATGTTTAGAAAGGGAGGGTGAAGAAATCATAATCATGTTTTCCAGAAAACAAAACAGGACAAAACAAAGCCATGCTGCATATATTCCATATTGTGGATGAAAGGAAGCCACCCACAGAGAGCAGACAAAACTCATTCTGCAACTTTAAATTTGTCACTGAAAACCTCCCAGAGTTAAAACTTGACTCCCCAAATCTACCCAGATGGCAGAACTGGAAGACAATGGAAATGGTTGATGTTACCTATCACCTTAGACGGTTTGTAACACCCAGTTATTCAACTAAACAGCAGGGAAGAAGTTTTTGTGAAGCCATCAGCAACAAGACTAATAGTTCTGATCAGTTGTCCTTGAGGGGCAGGTTTTATCTAATCAGCTGTAAGGTCTTAGAAGTAAAACTGAAGATTCCCTGAGGAAATAATGCTGCCTGGAGAATGCCCATGAATCCTTTCTTTGGAGTCTCCAGCCTGAGGGGCTGATGCACAAGTTTTAGACCTACTAGCCCATGCAACCATTAGCCAATTTCATGAAGTAAATTTCCTTTCTATCTCCTACTTTTGTTTCTCTGCTGAAATCTTGGTTGATTCTGTAATCTCAGTCACCTTCAGAACATCAGCCTTGAACATGGACTAATCTAAAGATCCCACTGGACTCACCACGCAAGATTCTGTAGGGCTTCAGAGACTCGTACTCATAGATGATAATCTTTGGGAAACTTCCTTTTTCGGCAACTGCGAAGTAAGTTTTATATGGATGGACCTAGAAAAATAGAATCTCTCTAAAATATTCAAAGAGATTTTTCACTCTGATATCCTTATCCATGCAGTACTTGATGATTGTTACAGTGTAATTGGCTAATTAGACTGCACTTCAATCTAAACCTCAAAAAAATATGCACATGATAACCACTTGACGATGGATATGATTTGAACTAAAAACTAAAAGAAGTATTTAAAAATTAAGGCTTAGCTTTATTAAGAAAATCATTTTAATGCTTTAAGTATTAAATTCACCGTGAGAATGAAGGCTTTAGCCTTTAGTGTGTGTCAGGAAGGTTTGTCCAAACACAGATCTCAAGCCCCAAACCCAGTGTTTCTAAATTCACATTTACATTTTAACAAGCGTTATGCTTCTGCTGGTCTACCTGGTTGTGGAAGAACAGTTAAGTAGGACAAGATGCCAAACTCCTGTGTAAGTCACTCTAAATGGTAGAAACATTCACAAAATGTGTGTTTCTGTTCACTTTCTCCCTGACAGACTGGGGTGCTTATGACAGACAGAATTTATTTGCCTAGCTTTTCTGAAGAGTTGGAAATCCAAAACTGTGGAACAACATCTACCAAGGGTTTTTGTGAGCACCATCCCATGATAGAAGCTGACAGGCTAACTTCCTGCCGATGCTGCCTTTTATCCTGTGGTGACACATCCTTATGACAATATCTCTTTCTAAGAGACTGAAATTTTTGCTGGACCTCACAGCCTAGTTAATTATACAGCTTAAGATCATTTAAGACTGATATTTTCCTGTGTAGTTGGTGCATTTGTTTAGCCTTTAAGATAACAATTCAACAACTATCCTTACTACCTTGGATTCCCTACATTATCATCTTTTATAACTACACTGATGCACAGCTGTAATCTTGATTTATGTACAGAGTAGTGAGATAGATGAATGGATGGGTGGGTGGATGGATAGATTGATTGATAGATAGATAGATAGATAGATAGATAGATAGATAGATATTTCCTCTCTGTTCAAGAAGCTAAGACAGGAGGATCCCAGGTTTAAAGCCAACCTGGGCTCTGTGCTGACTTTAAGGCCAGCTTGGGCTACATGAAAAAGAAATAAAGAACCCTTTAAAGAAAGAGAAAGAAAACAGAAAAGACCTTAGAATAAAGATGGCTGTGCATCTCATATGACTCTACAACACCGTGCATGCCACTGGTCCCTAACTGCCACTGTGGCATCCACAGAAAAACAGAAACAGGGATTTCTGGCCCGCAGGTCACTAAATGTTGGCATACCCCAATGGCACCAATCCCTTGGCCACTGCTGCTCTGCAGGTATATCTGTGTCTTGTTTTTAAAATCCAGCAGGACCATTTGGTTCCCAGCAATGTACAGCACAGTGTTGCTGTCCAGAAGTTGTAGGTTGGCTCGCTTTCTGCAGTCGTAACCATAAGAATGGCTGGGGCAAGGCTGCTAAGGAAAACAGTGAGCCATAACAGCCAAATGGGGACTAAAACAACCAAGCCTATTTTTAAAACCGATACTCTAACTAACTAACAACCTGAAATCAATAAAGCTGAACTTCACCCTGGAACTCAGAATTTTTCTATGAAGCACAAACACAGTTTTATTTTTAAAGTAGGTGAAAATCCTCATACTGAGACTTAAGTTTTCTACTTGAATTTTTGGGAAGAAATTCTGAGATTTAGGGATAAGCAGATAGATAGTGTTAGCCTTTCTAAATGGGTACCATTATCCTCTGTAGCCTGAAAACAGAACCATACCACATGGGGAAAAGTCTTCACCTTCATATCTGTTGGTCAAGTTTGTTGAAATTATAGTAAAAATAATTTTATTACTGTTTATATGGAGTGTGTATGTGTGTGTGCATGTGTGTGTGCATGTGTGTGTGTGTGTGTGTGTGTATGCGTGTATGTGAGATTTCTCTTCCACTACCTTGGATCCCAGAGATTCATGCCAGGTCATCAGGCTTGTGTGGTGAGTGTCTTTAACTCACTGATCCACCCTCTAAAAATATTTTCTAAGCCTCTTCCTTGATGATGAAAGACATTTAGAATTCTGGGACAATGAGATAGCTAGCTGGTTCACTGGGTAAAGGCACACACTGCCAAGACCAATAACTTGGGTTTCATTCCTAGAACTAAGTTACTGTGAAAAAAAGGGCAGACTCCTGAAAGCTGTCCTCTGACATGCCCTGACACTTGGGAACATACACATATAAACGTGCATACATAATAAATGTAAAAAGCAAACTTAAAGAAAACCTGACATTTGTGGAAATCTAATACAAAATTTTATAACATGCCTACCATATTAAGTTCTAATTAAAACTTAATATAAACAGATCATTTAAATCAACTAATATATGACACATAAAAATATACACATTTTTCCAAGGCTTTTTTTATTACATTTCTATATAAACAAATATATGTATTTATGTATGTAGGTATGCATGTATATATGTATGTATGTATGTATGTATGTATGTGTTTATGTCATAGAGTAAAATTGCATTAATTCAAAATAGAAGTTTCAAGATCTAGGTTACCTAAGATCTTATTGGTACAGTTCAACTCAAATTAAAAAAAACACAAGACATAAAATAACAACCTAAATGAGAGCGACCTATGAAAACTTTAAGCTGAGCCGCTTCAGCAGACAGACGATTTACAACAACGTGTTGAACGTCAAAGTTTAAGGATGAATCTATTCATCCTGGGGGGGGGGGGAAGAAGTATGATTTTGGAGGATCCACCTATTTGTAAGAAAATTTCTTGTGTCCTGAAAGACAGAAAAGAAAAGTTAAGAAGTGGAAATTCCAGATTAGAAAGTAATTTGGGGCAAACTAGCTTAGTCACACCTAGGTTTGAAACGGAGTTCAAAGCTGTATTAAGAAAGCATGTACCCTTATCCCCAAACTATACCTTTCCAAAGAGGCCAGGTGCGGTGTGGGCTGACAACAGCCACTATTCACAGGCGGCAAGCTGAGGGTATCAGAGACTGTCCTCTAACTACCCTCTCACAGACCTAACATGCTGACAACAAACACAAGCACTCTCTTAGGTCAGCCCTACTTTTGCCTGTCTTCACAAACCAATAAAAACTTGCTGTGGTGTGAACTCTCAGAGTCTCCTCAGGTAACTTCTCCTGTGCATGATGGGAAAGCATCAGCCTTGACAATGGCACCATCAGTGCCTCGAGAAAGGAAAGCAATGACGTCACTAGACAGGCATTGACAGAGGGAGGCCAGCCTGAGACACGAAGAAAATGTCAGTAAGAAGCTTCCCAGACTCTTGCAAAAACCATATCTCAATGAACTATAGCCTGGTCCATCTGTGCAAAGAGGATCCCCAAAGAATCATTGTCTTTCTATGGTGGCATTGAACAAAAGCTCAGTTTAAATTAGGGTCGACGCCCCCACAGCATTTCTTACAATTTCCTAAGACAAAGGTTGGTAAACTTTTTCTTTGTAAGGCAAGAGGTAAATACCTTAGGTCAACAGTTCTCAACCACAAGTTGAGACCCTGTCTGGCGGGCAGGGGAGTCACATAACTGGTATTTACATGATTAATAGCAGCAGCAAAATAACAGTTATGAAGTAACAGCAAAACGGTTGGGGGTCACCACAACATGAGGAACTGTATTAAAGGGTTAAAGCATTAGGAAGGTTCAGAACCACTGCCTTAGGCTTTCTAGAAAGAAAAAAAAAAATGGTCTCAATCACAACTCCTTAAGCAGCCACAGACAGAATGAAATGAGCTGTGTCTGTGCTGCAATAAAACTTTATTTACACAAACAGGCTGGAGGCCACATTTGCTCCAGGGGCTGTAGTTTGCCAACCCCTGACCTAGGAAATGAAACCGTCCCATATTATAAATTTATAGCTGGAGTGGATACTTGAGGGTGAGAAAATAAAGCGGGATGTTCGCTTCTGAAGACACATGTGGTGTGTTAATCAGCTCCAGGTAATCGTAATAGAAGTTCGCGGAGAGCGCCTTCTTCACATCTACTTCTGGCTCTTCCTTAACTTCAACAGGAGGCTCCTGGGAAACTAAAACATGAAAACACTTGATCTAAGAAGTGTATGCTTTAAACCCTAAAATCATATTTCACAAAGAGAGGCAGACCGTGCAATGATGTGCCGTGCCAGAAGTTTAAGAACAACCACTGGCCCGAACCCATGCTCCATGCTGCTAAACTCAGGAGGAAGAGCCCAAGATGTGCAGATGGGAGGATCGTGCTGGCCACGCTTCCATCAGGGGACTTGGAGAACTCCTAACTAAACTAAGGCACGGCCGATCCCTGGATCAGTTTATCCCCAGATCAAATACAAGACTTCTCGATGTCCTCCGAAACAGAACGTAGAACCCCTGAGGGCAGCTACTTTCTGTACACAACCCGGGTCCATGTCTTGCAGATTTTCCATTTCCTCGATCTATAAATAACAATTTAACTTGTCCGAGCAAGTTGCCTTTAAAACAGTGACAGTTACTGAGAGAGAGAGAGAGCTAATCACGCTTACCTACAGGACCCTGAAGATACTCTTGAGATGAATGTGAGCTTTCGTCCATGTCTTCCAAATCCAAGTCATCATCCAAATAGGACTCTTCCCCATCAGTGAATAAGTCATCTGTGACATCTTCTGAAGCTTCACGGATAGATATTGAAGATCATTTTTTACTTTAAAATCTCACAAGATTTTAGTTAAATTTTTTTTAATTCCAGAGTAACTAAAACTTCTTATCTGTTTATGCTTTAAATGTAAATGCTTTATATTCAAACTTTCCTAGAACATGCTTTTTTTGATCAGTCTTAAACTTTTACAAAAATGAAAAGGCCTTCTCTGTGAGTTCGTCGCTGTTTTCATTTCATTTCTAGTCTATTTCTCTTATGACATATTAACAAGAAAGGATAAACAAGAGGCCAGCATGAATGTTAGTATACTGCAATCAGAATGCCAACTAATATTTGATAGGTTATGTTGGAGATTCACAATGCTATTTAAGAGTAACCCTCTCTGAGTATGATTTCTCTCAAAGTAAAATCAACGGAGTAACTTAAAATATTGGCTTCAGAGAAAACTAATGAAGGATGAGAATCAAGAAAAGAGAAGACTTCAGGAGTAAGGCAATGTTCAGTTCAAGTCCAACCATGGGCATGCTTAAAATTCAGTGTCGATCACATGAGAGACTGGACTGGGGGCCTCTCAGAAGAACAAGGAAGAAACAGCAAGTACACCCAGAAAGAAGTACCTAGTACGTCTGAGATGAAGCTGAAAGGCTACAGACATAGCCCAAGAGTGTTGTAAATGAAAGCAAAAGACTGGGCCAAGTCAGTTAGCTGGGTCCCAGACAGAATTCCATAGGATGCTTGCATTTGGATGGAAGGAAGGTACATGAACAGGCCAAAGACTCGGCTCTGCTTAGGGAAGCTCTGGAGAACCACTCTCTAAGCATACCTGGTTTCTTTCTTGTGGCCAGAGCACCCAAAGACTACTTCCTCTCCTCTCTCATTTGCAAACTATGGAATCCTTCTCCATATCCTTCCCAATTTAATTCCCATGTGACTCATTTAAATGATCTAGAAGGAACTGATGGTTTGGCAGTTGAGGACACTTGGCTGCTCTTCTGGAGGACCAGGTTTTTATTCCCAGTACCCACAGTAACTAACAACTTTCTGTAACTCCACTTCCACAGGCACTATACACATTGTGCAGTGGTGCAGATATACATGTAGGAAAATACTCACACATAGAGAATAAAAATAAGTAAGTAGGTAAATAAGTGAGACTCTAAAATGTATAATTTTTTTTCCTACAAGGTCAAGCACTTCCAAGTGGTGGACTCAGGGCTTAAAGCCAAACTCTACCTTTTTCCATTCTGCTGTATCCAATAGTCCACCAAAGACAGAGATCTTGCAGGGGAAATGGAGAGTAAGACATCCATGCAGGTTGCTATCAACACAGACAGCTGACATTTCTTTTGTTGTTTTGACAAAGGGTCTAATGTAGCCTAGTGGGTCTAGAGATGGCAGCTGGCTAAGGCTGAGAATGAGCCTGGAATCCTGGTCCTCCAGCTCCCACCTCTGGACTGGCTGGGATTACACTTCCTCTTTAAACAGTGCCAGGGATTGAATCCAAGACCTCTGGTACTCTAGGCCAGCCCTCTATCCACTGAGCTAAATCCAGAGAGATGCACTAGGGGCTGGAGGTAAAAAATTAAGGCATAGATGCTACTTTTAGGGAAGAAGAGAGTTTGTAAGAGAGTATGGAAACAGGCAAACTATTTCTGTCTATAAATCCAGATGGTACGCTCTTAAAACGATCTTACCCAAATCCGATAACAAAGAAGTGTGTGTGTTATTACCCCCTATTTACCATTCAAAGTGGACCTAGGAGCCTGCTTTCCATCACTCCTTGATACTGATTTTCCCTCATCAGTGTCTTGATCATCTGGTTCCTTCATATCTTCTGTAAGTACAAAATGAGAGAGAAAGACATAAGGCCAGAACACAGATATTAACAGATCTCTCCTCATCATGAATTCCACAAGCACCAAAGGTCATGTGTGCTGGCACTCTTGTGCCTACACTGTATCCAAGATGATGTACAGCGGGAGGCTGCGAGCGACATCATGCACCTCTGTGAAAGCGGGGACTGGAATCACAAGTTTCCGTTCTCCGGGCATACCTGCCATTCTGGTGCACTCTGGTTTTCCCAAGATCCACACTGAAACACAACATCCAAGCCCATCTTTCCTTCAAATGCATCCCCACTAAAAGTAAACCTCTGCCACCCTTCTTTTGGTCAGTCCAGGGTCTCGTTTTCCTCATCCTATTATCAATTCCCATGGGGTTACTGATAAGTGTCGTTGTTGAAGATTAGTTCTGAAGCTTTGATTTGGTCTGGAACCTGAGTGTACAAATGCTAAAAGTCCTTGTCCTCAATTGGTTTTTGATCAATCAATAAAGATGCCAACGGCTGATGGTTGGGCATGGGGCGGGACCTTTAGAATTGCGCAGGCTAGGATGCAGAGACATAGATTTGCCAAGATGTGAGGAGAGACAGATGGTCAGGGGAGCTGTAGGCTACAAAGCCGACCAGCCTTGTGAGATTTCCACGTACCTGATTGGTTCTAGGGGCGGAGGATTAGAAGCGCCCAGTCACTGAGTTAGCAAAGGCATTTTAAAAATAAGCTAGTGTGTGTGTGTGAGTGTGTGTGTGTGTGTGTGTGTGTGTGTGTGTGTGTGTGTGTGTGTGTATTTCATTCTCAGCTCCAAAGAGCTGCTGGGCGGGTGGGTGGAAGCTGGCAACCGGCCGCTGGGAGCATAAGGGGAGCACGAGCGGAGTAGCCAAGACTCACACTGCATTTCATTTCAAATATATTTTTGAGCACAGCTTCTATGTCTCAAGTCTTACAGAGGCACTATATTATCAGGGTGCAGGGGGAAAAATCATGGACAGCCTTGAATTTCCGGGAGCTTATTGTTTAGAAATACGGGCATTCGACAAATAATGGAAATATGAGTGCTACTCGAAATGAAAATGGGAGAGCCAGGTACTGTGGGTATGTGTAACAAGAAAGTTAAACTAAGTTTGAAGCTTAGGGAAGTGGTGTTTGAGGCAGAAATGATGACTTGGTACAGGCTGGAGAAAAACCATTACAGGCAGAGAATAGCTCTGAAATGGCTGAATTTGGCCTACTGATTAGCACAGGGGCCATTCGTTGGTTTATACGTGGGTAGGACAAAATACCCAGCAAACAAAAGTTAAGGAATGATGGGTTTATTCTGGCTCACTGTGGAGAGCTTTTGGGGCCGCTTGGCAGGAATCTGACATTGGCCAAGGACAAGGAAATGGGCTTCAGGCAGGAATCTGACATTGGGCCATAACAAGGAAGTAAGTTCAGTCAGGAACCTAATTTTAGGCTAAAGCATGGAAGTAATTTCAGGCAGGAATTACTAGGTCTTAGGCTAGAACAAAAAAGTAGGCTTCAGGCATGAATATGACTGTGTGCTAGGACAGGGAAGTAGGCTCAGATATTTTGGTCATCCTGACAAGCCCTTAGAAACAGTGATCACAGGACTTTGTTTATTGCTTTGCTTGTTCCTTGACTATTTGCATCTATTGTATTGCTAGTTCCTCAACCTAGAACTGACCTTAATACTTGCACATAATTAAAATGCTATAAAAGCAGACTGGGAAAAAACAAACCTGCCCTCAGCCTCAGAACTGGCTGGTCATGCTACAGTGTTGTCTAATCATCTCTTTTCTTTTTAATCCTCACTCCTGCGCTGGAGAACCTGTTGACTGACTGGACTGCCCTAGTCAGCTCACAATTTGAGGGTAGAGTCCACCATGACTGCAGGAGCTGGGAACAGCTGATCACACTGCATCCATTGCCAGGGCTTGGTTTACTTAGTTTATAACCCCGTCCCATGGAGTGGTGTCCTCCATATTGAGGGTGTGTCTTCCCATCTCAGTTAACCTACTAAAGGAAATCCATCACAGACGTGTCCAGAAGCTTGTTTCCTGGAGATTCTAAATGCTGTCCAGTTGATGGTCAAGATTAACCATCACAAGAGGGGAATGAATACGAAGAGAAGGCAGATTGCCAAGTCACATGGCAGTCTCAAGAGGGAGGTTCATACTGTTCTCCCCACTGGCTGTAGGAAACACATTCGGATCCACCACATAAAAGCTGCCCCCTTTCTCCATATGCTTAACAGCTTTTTTGTTTGTTTTGGTTTTTTCTAACAATCTTTCTAGCTGGGGAAAGATAGTGATAGATAATTTCTTTTTTAAAAAAAATTGATATTCAAGGTATCAGAAGGAAAGCGAACCTACTCTTTAGGTTATACATTACAGGCTGTAGACTAGTGAAACAAGATGGTTGGCTTCCAGGGGCCACTTGCCTGCCTGAGCCCATGGATTTCTTGAAATTCAGGAGTTGGGCAGCACAAGTATCTCCCAGTGACCTAATTGAAGCCCAGCTTTCTGTTCTGCTTTCCACTATCTGAAAGGTTCATGAGGTCTAGTTTCTGACAGGTTATTTCTCCACCGTTGGTGAAATGAGCCAATTTAAACCAGATTAGATATTAAAGGCAAGTTTATTAGGGTGTTCGTTGCTCTTGGGTGGGTGAGTTCACTGGCCCCAAATACCAAGGTCAGGGAAGTCTCCATGGGGAAAGGTGCGGGGTAGGGGCGTGTGGGCGGAGAGGAGGAAGAGGAGAAGAGAGTGCCCAAAATGTCTGGATTATATAGGAAGGAGCCTCATGGGGAAGGGCAGCCCAGCCCCAGGGCTGGAAAGTTCAGGACTGGGGGCAGGGTATGCCTGGTAGGGACTGGGGGATGCTGGGAGAACCTGGAGGCCAGGTCTGCTTTGGGATGTAAAATATACACCTCACTCCCTTGTCCTGGTCTGAAACTAAACACTTTTTACCTGCTACCTTTCTTTTCCTACATATACTTTCAGTACACTGTAACCAAGTGATTCTCAGCCTTCCTAACACTGTGACCCATTAATACAGTTCCTCATGTTGTGGGGACCCACACCATGAAATTCTTTTCATTACTGATTCATAACTGTAAATTTGCTACTGTTGTGAACCGTGACGCAGATATCTGTGTTTTCCAGGATGGTCATAGCCATTGTATGTGAAGGTGTCATTCGACACCCCCAGAAGGCTCTCAGCCCACAGGTTGAGAACCACTGATAATGAGAAGGCTAAGCTGATTCCATGACAGGCTTCAAACTGGCAGTTCAGGACTGGGCAATCCAGGCCTCAGAAGCTGTCCCACCACCTGGCCTGAGGCAAGGACGATGGGTCAGCAGCAGTTTCCAGACTTCCTCAGCTACTTCCTCAGCAACAGTTTTGTGCTCCAACACCGGGTAATGAAAGTCCCTAGAGATGGAGTAAGATAAAGGTCACCTACCCCAGAATCCCCTAATGAGCCTTTAATCAGGCTTATGGGCCCACTTGGTTGCCTCTCTATCTTGGTATTAGGAGACCCCAGCATGCTGGACTTCTGGAGAATAAAACACGTTGTGTTTTCATACTGTTTGAGTCCAGGGTATCATTCTTTGGCAAATCATGGACCCTTATAATATAACTGAATATAAACTAGATGCATATATTTTTTTAAAAAAATTAGGCCCATAGGCCTAATACATTTAGTCATAATTATTCTTTAGAAAACCAACCAGTGATGTCAAGTGGGAAACTCTGCAAACAAACTTGACCCACAGTGGAAGATAAACAGATACAGGGACAAAAGCATCAGCTTGCTTTCTGGGCTGTCATGAATGTTGTAATCCTCACATGGCCAGGGCTGCCATCAAATAAAGCTTAGTATCACAAAGCCAGCCAAAGTCTGGTGGTGTTGAGTATGGAAGAAAACTCTAGAATACGGAGACTTCACCCAGTAATCTGAACTAGCAATAGTGGCCTATAAACACAAAAAACAAAGCAAAGCAAAAAAAAAGCAGAACACTGGGCTCAGTCTTATCTCCCCTGGGAAGTACAGAGGAATGGGGGTAATCTGTAAGATTCATGACTAGCGCAGGTATGAGAGACTCCTGGAATCCATAGACAAGGCTGCTGCCATGGAGCAAAGTCGTTTTTAGGGATTTTTGCTTGTTTGTTTGTTTTGCTATTTGTTGTTGTTTAAAACAAACAGATAGGGAAATTACACTGTAATGGTGACAGGTTTTGAAGCCAAAGACTACTGGGATCACACCCAAGCTTGGGCAGTGAGTAGGTATTTGGTTTCAGATCCCAGGAAGAGGGACTGAGGTGCATATTTTACATATCAAAGCAGACCTGGCCTCTTAGTTCTCCCAGCATCCCTGAGTCCCTAGCTGGTATAACCTGCCTCCAACCCTGAACTTCCCAGCCTAGGGTCTGGGCCTTCTTTCCCCCAGAGGCTCTGCCCTATTTAATCCAGACATCATTTTGGTCCTCATGTTCTCTCTCTCTCTCTCTTTCTCTCTCTCTCTCTCTCTCTCTCTCTCTCTCTCTCTCTCTCTCTCT